TTTCTCTTTTGGACAGAAAATACAGATCTTTTTATGGTTCCTTTGCTTCCCTCCAAACCAGCGCTCTGGCACTGCCGCTGAAAATGGGAAATACCCTGAACACCATGGCTAAATATCGTGATTACGGTAGTAAAACAAAGTTCTCTTATATAAAATGCTCTTTTTAACCAGAACCACCACATTCTAATATACACTGGGGAACATCAAATTGTAAAACTGTTAGCTCACATTATTGCATGATTAACATAATTTCATAACTACATGCAATTAGATAAGCTAAAAACTTTCATCATCAGTCTGTTGGATTGCTGATGCCCTGGAATCCTTTGGCAAATGTATTTTTCAAAAATAAGCAATTATCCAAAGGATATTACTAAGCACCCAGTTGTGTGATTTCATAGTAGCAGTTTCTGCGCTCTAGTGTAGAAATTGGTGCTGTGTGTGTGTGTGTGTGTGTGTGTGTGTGTGTGTAAAGTGATGCTTCTCAGGGAGGTTTTTTTAAATATTAGCATTAAGGTATAAACCTCTTTAGAAATTATACCATTTTGCCAATGTCTTTAAGTAAAATGAATTTACTGTAGATTTAAGTGCCTGGGGTCTAGTGCCACCTAGTGTTATGTCGTTTTCAGTTATTTCAAACCTGAGCACATAAAAATGGAACTTAATGTCCTCCTTCTCCCATGCCAGCCCCAGTGCCCCATTTCTGCCTCCATTTCAAAAAGTCACCAGGTCTTACAAGAATAATTAAATAAAAAATTCTCCAGATCTTACAAGAATAATAAAAAAGGCACCAGGTCTTGTCAGTGCAAGGATTTCACATCTTTCTTTCTTTTTTAACATTACCACGAACAACCTAGCTCATCCTGTTGAAAGGAAACTTTTAAGTCCATAGTCAGCTTAATTGGCTGTATGTTGACCATATACTATCTTTCGCAAGTTATTTAAGCTCTCTGGGCTTCAGTTTCCTCACCTCTTAGATAGGAACAGTAATATCTATTTCATAGGGTTTTTTTTTTTCGTTTTTTTAAATTGTTTTATTGCTTAAAGTAGGGGTCCTCAAACTTTTTAAACAAGGGGCCAGTTCACTGTCCCTCAGACCGTTGGAGGGCCGGACTATAGTTTAAAAAAAAACTATGAACAAATTCCTATGCACATTGCACATCTTATTTTGAAGTAAAAAAACAAAACGGGAACAAATACAATATTTGTATTTGCATGTGGCCCACGGCCGTAGTTTGAGGACCCTGGCTTAAAGTATTACAAAGAGTATTACATATGTCTCCTTTTTTTCCTGCCCTTAACAATCCCCTAACATAGGTTTTTTTAAAATTAAATGAGTTAATATATTTAAAATGCTTATAATATCTGACATATGCAGATATTTAATAGATGTTAATCACCATATACTTTAAATCATGTTTGAATCCTTACTGGGAATACAAGTGATTAAAATAGTCTATACTGCTTTTCGTTTTAAGGTCAGAAGGCAGAAGCTGGGTTCCCTATGACAACTGGGCTGATTGAGAGGTCTAGTCTGCATAAAAAGTCCTCTGCAAACAGTTCCACCCCGTCTGCAGCCTACCCTTTCATTCTCTTAACAGTGTCTTAAACAGACTAAGTTTTATAAGTTCAATATATCAGTTCTTTCTTTTATGGATCGTGCTTTTGGTGTCATGTTTAAGAACTGCTTGCCTAACACCAGGTCATGGAGTTTCCTTCTATGTTTTCCTGTAAGTTTTTTAGTTTTATATTTTGAGTTAATTTTTGTAGGTGTTAAGATAGTGTTTCCTATCATCAAAGTTACTTGCAATGGGTTTTGAATATGCAAATTTCCTTTTCACTTGTATTGAGGTCTGGAACTGTAGTTTGAGGATGGAAAATATATCTGCTACAGATTTGTGTGGGTATGGAGATCTGTTTTAACTTTTGCCAGCATATACAATGTGACATTTCTTGTATTCAAATGTTGTCATCAAAGTTACTTTAGCAAAATATTAGTTTCAAATATAAGTGGTGCTCTGACTTCTGCTTCTAGGTTGAATTCATTAAGAAACACCAAGTCTGCAGCAAAAGCTAAATTTTAAGGCCATTCAGTGTTTGAGGGAGGTTCTTCTCATTCAGAAATTTGCAGTTTTGGCTCTGAAGTTGGAACGTCTCAACAAAACTTTACCACCACAAAGCCATCAAACTGCTGTGTGGCAGGGCAAGTCAGAATACTTAGCTTCTTCTTTAAAAATACATTTTTATTGACTTCAGAGAGGAAGGGAGAGGGAGAGATAGAAACATCAATGATGAGAATCATTGACCAGCTGCCTCCTGCACACCCCCTGCTGGGGATCGAGCCTGCAACCTGGGCATGTGCCCTTGACCAGAGTCAAACCTGGAACCGTTTAGTCCACAGGCTGACGCTCTATCCACTGAGCCAGACTGGCTAGGGCCAGAATACTGAGCTTCTATTTCTGTCAGAAATTGCTGGAACTGATAATAGCTAAGTCCACAACAAATGAAGTACAACAGTGACATGATTAGTTCAATAACACATGATAGGTTCACACATTTTTTCTTTAAATGTTTTTAATTTTTAAAATTTATTTTTATTGATTTCAGAGAGGGAGGATAGAAACATCAACGATGAGAATCATTGTCTCCTGTACGCTCCCTACTGGGGATTGAGCCTGCAACTTGTGCATGTGTCCTGACCAGGAACTGAACCATCACCTCCTGGTTCATACGTCGATGCTCAAGCACAGAGACACACCAGCTGGGCAATTCACATATTTCTTTAAGTACTTGCTGGTGAATAATACAAGAAGCAGGCCTTAAACACCTTATATTTTCAGAAACTCTACATTTGTCTAAGTCTTTTTCTAGTTCCCTATGTTTTTTGTTTGTTTGTTTATTATTTATTTACTTACTTACCAAAATCAGGTATGGCACATGTTGGAAGGTTCCACTTCAGTTGTACTGAATGAATGTTCTCTCCACTTTGAAATATTTTTGCTTGTAGTTGTTCCACAGACAGGCTAATTCTGCATAGAGGCTAATTCTTCAGTCATTTCTAGGGTGACAAACTGCATTAGCCTGGGACTGAGGAGGTTCGCCTAACATGTGACTTTCAGTGTTAAAACCAGAAAGGTTCTGGGGAAACCTTGATGAATTGGTCATTCTAGCACTTCAAATCTTGACTTTTTGAACAGTGAGCTGAACAGTATTGGTAAGGTCTTTTAACTTCTTAAGTGCCTGGGGAAAACAATCAAAATAATTTGCCTTGTTTTTATTTTACTTTTTTTTGTTTGTTCACCAACCCAAGTCAAATCTCCTTTTGTCACCATTTTCACTGGCCTTGTTTTTAAATTAACTATTGTTGCTTCAACTCTTCAAGCAACTTTCTTGTTTAAAGGCTGTCTTCTTAAAAAAAAAGTTTTTATTGATTTCAGAGGGAGAGGGAGAAACATCAATGAGAATCATTGATTGGATGCCTTCTGCACGGCCCCTACTGGGAATCAAGCTCACAACCCAGGCATGTGCCCTGACCAGGAATCAAATCGTGACCTCCTGGTTCATAGGTCAAAGTTCAACCAATCGAGCCACACTGGCCTGGTTCAAAGGTCAAAGTTCAATCAATTGAGCCACACTGGCCAGGGATAAAGGCTGTCTTAAAAAAAAGTTCATTTTATGCCCTAACCGGTTTGGCTCAGTGGATAGAGCGTTGGCCTGTGGACTCAAGGGTCCCAGGTTCGATTCTGGTCAAGGGCACGTACCTTGGTTGAGGGCACATACCCAGTAGGGAGTGTGCAGGAGGCAGCTGATCAATGTTTCTCTCTCATCGATGTTTCTATCCCTCTCCCTTCCTCTCTGTAAAAAAATCAATAAAATATATATATTTTTAAAAAGTTCATTTTTAGCCCTAACTGGTTTGGCTCTATGGATAGAGTGTCGGCCTACAGACTGAAGGGTCCCAAGTTTGATTCCAGTCAAGGGTGCATGCCCAGGTTGCGGGCTCAATCCCCAGTAGGGGGTGTGCCAGAGAGGCCGATCAATGATTATCATCATTGACATTTCTATCTCTATCTTCTCCCTTCCTCTCTCTGAAATCAATAAAAAATTTTTTTCTAAGTTCATTTTATTGGACACATTTTGCCATCTGCTGCAATCACAATGTACCTTACCATTGGTAAAGGGCTTTCCTTGCTTGCCTAATAAGCCACATGGAAACATTACCACCTTATAAATTTTGGGGTAAAAAAACTGCTGAGCCCTAGCCAGTTTGGCTAAATGGATAGAACTTTGGCCCTTGGACCAAAGGGTCCCGGCCTCGATTCTGGTCAAGGGCAAGTAACTTGGGCGCATGCAGGAGGCAACCAACTGGCATGTCTTGTTCACATTAATGCTGGTCTCTCCCCCTCCTTTCCAGTCACTTTAAAAATCAATGGAAAGATATCCTTAGGTGAGGATTAACAAAATTGTGCTGAGAGTCCATTTAAAATGGTTAATTCTGCTTTTTGAGTTGGGAATATTGTGATGAATGCTTAGTCTGATAATGTCTATATATATTGTGTTCTTTTAGCACAGCTGATGCGTCACTGCCATCTGAATGGATAAAATAATCCAGTCCACCGTGAACATTTTCTCTTTAGACTGGATAGGTATGCACTGGTAATCAAAATATGTAAAACCCATGGTACTGAGACATGGGGCACACGAAGGCCATCGAGATGAAACTGTGCCACTGCCATCTGTAGTGCACCCAGCCATGAGAGGACCACATATTGTCTCTCTCACAACTAAAATCTTGTAGCACAAATGCTGCCATCTCAGCCCACTATCACTTTAAAGATTTACTAAATACTGGATAAAAAATATTTGAAGGCAGTTTTCAATGAACATGAATTAGCTAATACAAAAGCATATTTCAAGGGCATTAGAAAATTAAAAATATTTGAGGTGAAAACCTACTATTTTACTTCAAGACACCCAAGTCCCACTTGCATACAAATAAATTGTAAATAAAACACGTTTATTTGCTGGTCACTGTTTAAACCATGAAATACAATTCCACATCGATGATACTTTAGTGGTTAGTAGTCCATACTAGCTTACCAAAAACTAACTTAACATTAGGAAAATGACCATATACACATATATACACACTTGAATTGCCTTCTCACTGTACTTAATGTCCAGTTTTGACCACTGGATGCTGAAGTCTAAAATACCCTTATGGGTTAAATGTGCACAGCCTACACAGAGAAACATGTAGACAATAAAGCAAGGTTTTATTTTCTTTTATTTAACAAACGCTGCAGTTTAGTATTTAAACCTGCAGTTAATGGTGACCCTTTTATGCAGACAGTCACTAAAGGCAGGTATGAATCTGGGAAGAAACCGGGAGACCGGGGCAGAGAGGCAGCAGGCCTGGCTCCTGCTGGGTGGTGTGCGCACCTGTGTTTCAGCTGGGGCAGGCAAGCCGAAGTTACCAATTCCTGTTATTATTGACTGGAACCAACAGTTTCTTCTGATACACAGCCCTCATAATAAAATCACATTTTCCAGAAGAAATATTATTCATAATACACTCAGAATCACTGATTGTTTTTTCTTCGTCTTTTTTTCCTTGACTGTGTAGGTGTTTCAGTCTCTTGTGTTTGTTCTTTTATGCCAGATAAGGGCTGTTTGAAAACTATTTCATTATCTTCATCATCATTCATTTCAGCCACTTCAGATTTTCGTTTATCCAAAAATGTTGGTGTACAAACTGGTGTGGGGCCCTAAATTCAACAAGAAATAATACATAAATGTGGGAAGATATGAGGAATATTTTACCCCTCCCTTCTATTTTTACAAGTTGTGCAGTGTTAATTCAGGCCTATTTCCATCTTTCAGTGACATAATCACACAGGAACGAGTTTAGGTGCTTATCAAACTTAGTATAAAAAAGTCACAATCGATTGTAATATAATATGCTCCATTATAGGATATGAGGTAGAAAACCTTGATCTTATACTTATAAAAACAGTGGCCTCCTCTCTCCTAACTCAGTCACTTTGCTTAAGAGGTACAAAGTGCAATAATAAACTCACAATGATAATTTTTGCTTGTAAACTCACAATATCTGCTGAAGTCACAAATTAAATATGAGAAAAATTTTTCTAAATATTTTTATTGATTAGAGAGAGAAAGGGGGAGGGAGAGAGAGATAGAAACATCAATGATGAGAGAGAATCATTGATCAGCTGCCTCCTGCACTCCCCCTACCGGGAATCGAGCCCACAACCTGGACATGTGCCCCTGACCAGAATCGAACCTGGGGACCCTTTAGTCCGCAGGCCCAGCTCTATCCATTGAGCCAAAACGGCTAGGGCTAAATGTGAAATTTTAACAAACTGACAGTAGCAGGAACTGTTTCTCCTCTTTTGAATTATACTACCTGATTCTCAAAATACTAACGACAATTTTACCTGGCTATCCACGGTATTCTCAGGAGTTTCAGGGGTGGCTGAAGCCTTCTTTTGATTCTTAGGTAAAGCCTTCAATAAAGTTTAAGAAACTTCATCAATTTGTATATTTAACAGTTTTAGTAGTTTGAATATATTTACCCATTTATCTTTCCCCTAACACCTGGCATGCAATAAAAGAAAAATGTTACCTGTCTATTTGTGGATTTCTGAAGGTTGGTGTTTGAGGTGTTGCTTTTCTTCTTTTTACTACGTAAAACCTTAAGTAAACAGAAAGAAGTTATTACCTGGCAGTATCACATATTTACATTTTTAACTTACCATTAGATCCTTACACATGTTATCAGCAGATCCTTCCTAAATGAGAAAGCATTTCAATTTAAAAAGCAAAATCCACAAATATAGTGAATGATCTCCAGTAAAGGGAAAAAAGTAAAGAGGGGCCGAGCTGGCGGATGGGCAGAAGCTGTGGAGATGAAGTGAGGCTGAGACCCGAGCTGGCCTAGCGTCCTGCTTTAGAGGACCAGCTCCCAAATGGTTCGTAAGAGGACCAGGGCCTGCTGCCTGGGACACAGTGATTTTTAAACACATACTGTTAAAGACTGTTTGGGATTTAGGCAAAGAATCAACAACCGGAACTGGGCCAAAGGGGGTACTCAGTCTTCTAGTTTCTGGATAAGGCTAAAAGACCTAATAACCTTAGGAAGAGATGCCATCCATCTTTTTCCAACAAATTAGCTGTTTGAAAATAAGCTGAAAGGGTCTATGAAAGATCCAAACCAACCTCAGAATTTAGTGAAGAAATAAGATCGTCACCCATCCTAGCCACCCCCGAGTGGCCTGCACTCGTTTCGTAGTGGAAGACATAGCTCTCCCCCAGGAAAGTGGGAGGGAGAATCAGCGAGCAAGGACATGGGGACTGACTGAGTGACATCTGTGCTGACGCAGCTTCATGCCAGCAGGTTTGCTATATTCTAACCCTTGCTCACTTAATTCACAGATGACGCTGCTGAAATCTGATATGCACTTTATCTCCAATTTAAAAGAACAAGAAACAAAATTTTAACTGGAATGGCATAAAAAGGATGGCCAATTTATAGTCTTTATGTTTACCGATACCATGAAATACCAAACTTCATTTAATTCTGGTAAGGACACTTTTAATAGCAATTTAGAAGCATTATGGTTTGGGTTAAAGAGTGGAGTAACTTCAATAATTTAAAACAGATCATGAAAAACCTAACCCCTTTCTGAAATTTCCTTTTCTATACAATGTCGATCATTGGATCTGGTCTGACACACTTTAGGAAGAACTTACAATGCAGCGCCTCAAAAATTTAGTCAAACCCTAGTATGTGGTAAGCACTGAGCTAGATACTTTATAGAGAAAACCATAATCATGTTACAGCTACTGAGGTACAAAGCCCACCTCCAAGAAGAAAAACACAAAATATATTTTCTGAAGGAATATTTACCAGTGAAGGAAAATCGTAATTAATTCCCTTCTTAGCTAGTCTCTTCCTGAGTAATTTTTCTTTCTTTCTAAATCGCTCCTCCATCCGCAGCTTTTCAAGAAGGGTCCGGTTCTGATTATAACGTTTCACTGCTGGGAAAGACGGGTTCTTAAACGGAAGATGCCACTCTCTAAAAAGTTCCTCGTGTACTGTCTCAGGTGGCATAAAACGACCTACATGCAAAAAAGAAACAAGTTTTCAACTGAGTGGGAGGGGCACAGCATAGCACGGATCCACATGTGCAGTCCTCGGACACCTTTTGGCTCACCTCCTCAACCCTTCCTCTCCTTCATTTCTGTGAATGAACCCATGCCGTCAGCAAGGCTGCTGGGACTGTCACGGCAGGAGGAACCAAAACGAAGAGAGGCCGGAGATGCCACCTGGGCAGCCTCATCAGCTGCCTGATCAGATGTGCCTGACTTGGGTACCTGAATGGCCACACCCCCCGCAAGCACCCAGAACCATAACTCTGCCTCTGAAGGGCCCTGGGACCCAGACAGGGCTGCGCTGGGATGTCAAGCCAGCGGCGCCGGTTTCTGTAGGTGAACTTCTAATCTGGTGTTGTCATGGTTTCTCTGGTAGAAGAGCTGCACCAATGCCATTCAGACAGTCTGAACTGTGACTCCTCCCTTCACTGTTACCCTATCTAGAACCCATTAATGGTTTCCCACTGTCCTCAGGACACATATCGAACTCCCAGATTTATAAGGATTCAAAGACCTGGCCTCCCCTGTCTTCTCCCTCATCTCTTGCTCTTCTCCTCAGTCCCTCATAGGCAGATACTGCTAGTCACTTCTAGCTTTGCATTTGCTGTCCGCTCGGCCAGGATCTCAACCTTCATCCCCTTCCCCGAACCTGGCTCACTCCTCTTTAAACTCCAGATTTTAATCTAAATACTTCCTCAGGGAAGCCTTCCACGGCCCTTTAAGGTGGGTTAATCACTCTTCCTATGTGCTCCTAAAATCACTCCCCAATTCCATCTCGGCACAAACACAGCTCAGTCTGGTTTAGATTTTAAAATTCTAATTAGAACTGATCTTGCACTATCCTTAAGGGGATCACCCAGAAATGATGTGGGATGTCCGAGTAGCTGAGCAATCTGTCCTTCACACCACAGCCACCCATCAGCAGCAGGTAACCAGGCCCACGGGAAGACAAGCGCACTTACACTGCAAGAGCCTTTCACCAAAAAGGTAGTTGTTCATTGTTTCAGCAACTATCTTGGCAACATCTTCAGATTCAAATTCCACGAAGGCATAACCTCTGCTATTTCCAGTCTGCAATTAAAAAAAACCGCCACAAAAACAATTAAACTCTAATACATCATTGAACTGCTAAAATGCCATTAATTTAAATAATCACACCAGCCCCATTAGCAAATAACATCATGGCATACAATGTGGAAACTGTTGTGGGAAAAGGAAAGATCCCCAAAAGGCTGAATATGCCACTGACCTCGAGGTATTCCTGGGATCTGATCACACAGGTAAGTCCATAACCACAGTTGGAATCGATTTAACAGTTTGAACTCTTCAAAATAGCCAACATTAAGAAAAACCAAGTAAGTACACAGGGCAAGGAGACTATCCTACATAGGCTGAAGAGTCACACCAACCAAATGCAATGCAGGAATCGTGACTGATCCCAGATCAGGTAAGGAAACTGGTAGCTAAAGACTTTTGGGACTACTGGGGAATATGTGATGATGCCAAGTCCATGCTAGACCAGCGGTCGCCAACCTGTCAGACCTCATGGACCACCGGTTGGCGACCGCTGTGCTATACTATATCGTGTCCGGATTCCTAGATTTACGATGAGGTATTTCAAGTTTTTATGACTGCTACTTCCTTCTAAGGTTCAGTAAAACGAAGTATGTGTGTTTATAGCTATGGAGACATACAGCTAATGTGTCAGGGTGTTAGTAATGGGTGAATCCAGGGGAGGGAAGAGATGTTCATTACATTATTGTTCTTTCCACTTCTCTGTAGACTTGAACATTTTCAAAATACAATTCTGGGGGAGACAGTGATTATATTACAGTACAGAAAAATATTTACAAATGATCCTCAAAAAAGGCAGAAAAAAGTTTTTGAAAAAGACAGTAAGGGCAAAAGATAAGAATAGGCAGTTCTGCCCTAACTGGTTTGGCTCAGTGGTTAGAGCATCTGCCTGCGGACTCAAGGGTCCCAGGTTCGATTCCGGTCAAGGGCATGTACCTTGGTTGCGGGCACATCCCCGGTGGGGAGTGTGCAGGAGGCAGCTGATCGATGTTTCTCTCTCATCGATATTTCTAACTCTCTACCCCTCTCCCTTCCCCTCTGTAAAAAACCAATAAAATATATTAAAAAAAAAAAAAAAAGAACAGGCAGTTCAGGGTGGGGGTAAGAGGGAGAGATCAACCAAAGGACTTGGATGCATGCATATGAGCCTAACCAATGGATACAGACAACAGGGGGGTAAAGGGCATGAGTTGGGGGTGGGAGGGCAACGGGGCAATAAGGACACATATATATCTTAATCAATAAAGAAAATTAAAAAAAAAAAAAAGAATAGGCAGTTCACAGATGAGGGAATTCTAATGGCTAATATACCCATAATGACACTCAACACAACCAATTTAGGTCAGAAAGGTCATGTTAAACAACTGAACAGAACGGTTACGTAGTGTCTCATAGAACTTTTATTTCAGTTATGTGTTCATACATGTATATGTGTGCTGACTTCTCCTATAAAACTTAGAGAGAATAATACTATACAATCTGTAGTAAAGATTTCCAAAACACATACAGCAATGAAAAACACTGACTTCGTGAACAGTAATTTCCTGGGCATGGGCGAAGGTGCAGAGGACCGGGGAAGGGCACGAAAGGGACCCCAAGTCTACCTAAAATCTATTTCTAAAAAAACAAAGGCCTGAAGTAAGTTGATATTTGATAAAGGAAAATGGTGGATACCTCAAGTCTCTAAATCATTCTCTGGTAGACTTCAGGACGTTTGAAATAGCTCACTCACATAATAAGCAACCATTACCATTACAAATAGACAAATGGGGGGAAGAGGAGGCGTACAGAGAAAATGTGTTACTTTGGTTAGGATCAGAGAAATACCAGGGCATTTTAAATTTGAAATCCCCTTTAATGTTGAGATATTGCTTTGACAAAACTTAATACCTGTAACTTTAGAACAACTAGCGGAAGATGGATGCATACCTTATCCACTCATGTACCAAATAAAATATAAAATTAACTTTGATCTGTTATAACTCAAGTGGGAAAATGTGAAGAAACTGCATCAAGAAAAATGAAGATTTCCAACAATGAGAGGTCTCTATGGTTACAACAATAAAAGTGTACATGTGTGGTGTGGTAAAAAAACCGAGAATGAAAAAAAAATATTCATTCAACAACCTATTTTGAGCTTTATCCACGTAACTACTACATTCACTGTCATTGCTATGTTCCTCTGCTTGAACACACTCAAGTTTATCTAGCTTCCCACTGAACATTAGGTTTTATAATATTTCACTCTTAGGTGAAGCTGCTGGGAACATTATAAGTTTTATACGAGAAGTCAGCACGCTCTATTCCTGAAACAAACCACATAAACCTTTTAAAATTAGAAGGTAAGGATGACATAACAATGACACACACACACACACAGCTCTTCCTGTATCAGGCGTTGTCCCAAGAACCTCACATTCCCTACCTGTAATCTGTAATGAGATACTCTTAGGACGATGGTGCTATTTCACTCATATTTTGCAAATGAGAAAACTAAAGCATGGACAGGTTACATACTTTGTCCAAGGCCATACAGCCAGCAACCCGTGGAGGCCAGGCCTTGCACACAGGTGGCCTGGACCGTGTCCCTGTTCTTCACCGTTCACTGTACACACCTCTGCTGTTACAGGGGTGCATACGCCCAGGCCAACACAAGAGGTGCGAACTGCTCCTCAAACTGAGCTCCCTGTGCAGCTGACTGAGTAGCTGCAGGACACGCACGATCCGTTTACCAAAACTGTCCATGTAATTAGAGGCTCTGGGGGCAACCACTCTCTCTAACCGTAACACAAACATCGACAGTAATCCCGATTTTGTTTTCGCGGTTGTTTCCGGTTCTAAGCCTCACCCATGACCCCCTTCTGGAGCGAAGACTGGTAAGAATACCGTGTGAGCACGCCCTCTACACTGTCAACGACGATGTGCTTTTGAAAAAGAAAACAAATCACCTACTTCAGTAGAAAAACCTTACCCTTTTACTTCTGGACAGCCTGAATCTCGTCACAGTGCCAAACTGGGGAGAAATACGCTCGGATCTGGGTTTCGTAAAGTGCTGGAGGCAGGTGGCCCACATAAATGACTCCGGGAGTGAGTTTTTCTTTTTCTTGCTTCTGTTTCTGAAAACATAAAAACCAAGGAAATACTTTTTTAATTAAAAAAAAAAAAAAAAAACCACACATTGCAACAACTTGGAGAAACCCTTAGTTTTCAGTCCAGATCGGGGGTTGCAAGCTTCTCCGCTCGCGAAGCAGCAGAGCTGAGGCCCGGCCGCGGGTCCTTCCCCCCCCCCCCCCGCGATGGGGGCGCTCCACCACTATAATGGACGCCATGGCTGCGCGAGTGGGTCTCTAACGCTACTTCAGACCACCCGGCGGAGACCTCCACCGACACAGCCTCCACTTTGCATGCAGATCGCCGTTGAGTCGAACCCCCCAACCGCACCATTCCCGGGCCACGGCGAGCCTTCTCGCCGCCGACACCTTCCCCCGGGTCAACTCCAAACGTGTCTCCAGCTGGAAGCCATGGCGAATGCAACCTGATGCCGGGGCCCCGCTAGCGAGTGAAGCTGGCAGGTACCGTCCTCCAGAGCCCCCGTCCCCGCTGCACTGGCGGCGCGGCCCGGCGGCGGCGTGTGGGCCTCGCGCGGGGCCATTGCGGGAGGAGCCATCCCGGCGGCTCTGTCCTCCCCTCGCGCCACCCGCTGAGCTCCGCGGGACCTGCCGGCCGAGCCACCCTCTCCCCGCCCGCTCCACCTCCCGCCTCGGCCCCCAAGCCCGTGGGGTGGGGCCGCCCTGGGAGACCCGGGAGGCGGCGGAGGCCGGAGGAGGGCGAGGCCGGGACCGACCCGGGCTCCGCAGGCCCGCGCGTCGCGGAGGCGCCCACCTTCGTTGCGCGCCGGCGGGCCTGAGCCACCTCCTTGTTAAACTTCTCGTCCTCCTGCGGGTTCAGCGACAGGAGCGGCTGAGCCGGGCCCTCGAAGACCGCCATGCCGACAGCGTCCGAGTCGCGGAGCTCCACGCGGCAGCTCCGGAAGTCCCAGAGCCCGTAGCTCCGCCCAAGCGGAAGTGGAGGCGGCCGACGTGCAGGGTGCCGCAAGGAGCGGGGGCGGGGGCGGGGCGCTGGGGCGTGGCGGGGCGTGGCGGGCGCCCCCTGCTGGTGAGATGCCACTTGGCCTCGCTCTCATACCTGCCATTTGCTTAAATCAGTGGTTCCCAGCCTTCCTAGTGCCGCGACCCTTTAATACAATTCCTCATGTTGTGGTGACCCCCAACCATAAAATTATTTTCGTTGTTACTTCATAACTGTAATTTTGCTACTGTTATGAATCGTAATGTAAATATCTGATATGCAGGATGTATTTTCATTGTTACAAATTGAACATAATTAAAGCATAGTGATTCATCACAAAAACAATATGTCATTATATATGTGTTTTCCGATGGTCTTAGGCGACCCCTGTGAAAGGGTCGTTCGACCCCCAAAGGGGTCGCGACCCACAGGTTGAGAACCGCTGGCTTAGGGAGTAAAACTGCCCTTTTTTACTTTCCCTTTTCCCCTCCGTTTCTGCATTCTCTCATTAGGAAGGTTTTTAACCATTTGCTGTGGCCTTGGCTGGGGAAGATAATGGCCTGTTAGTTACAAGCTGGCTGCAAAATGCTCACACTGTTAGGCCTTGTTTTAACTTCCCTGCCTCAGTTTCCCTGTTCCTCCTGCCCTGGAATCCTGTAACAGATCCACCTTCTCCCCTGCATCCCATTCCTGTTTTTGGCCTGTCAAGTGTTGGTATCTTGTATTGGCAGCCTGAGGGGACCAACACGGCCGCATTGACTGGTCAGCCTGTGCGGTGCCTGCCCGGTGCCTGCCTGGCTGTGTCAGGGCTGGCGCTGAGGAGCGTGGGTGCTCACCAGGAGTGCCAGGCACCCTGGCCTTGGCCCTTCACTAGACCATAGAAGCCAGCTCTTAATGGGGGCAGAGAGTCTAGGCCAGTGGTCGGCAAACTGTGGCTCGGCAAACCGCGGCTCGCGAGCCACATGCAGCTCTTTGGCCCCTTGAGTGTGGCTCTTCCACAAAATACCAACTTCTGCGCATGGGCCACGAAGTTTCAATCGCACTGTACGTGCGCCCACACGTGGTATTTTGTGGAAGAGCCACACTCAAGGGGCCAAAGAGCCACGTGTGGCTCGTGAGCCACAGTTTGCCAACCACGGGTCTAGCCCCCCATCCTCACTCAGCCCAGCCCCGGCCTGCTTTCATTTTTACCCCTCCCGGTCCTGGTCACTCTCAGTGAACAGTGACCTCCAGGAATTCCAGTGATGCGATTCATCTCTGAGGAAGCCTCTGGTGAGACTGCGCGGTCCTGTGGCAGCAGCGAGAGGCTATTGATAGACCAGCAGCGGCCTTCCTCATCCCAGGGGACCAGCCGTGCCACGTGTGTTCGTCCTTCCTTTTCCTTTCCTCGTCCTCCTCCCGTCTTTCCTTCTGTCCTTCCTCCCCTCACTCCCTTCTTTCTGTTTTGTTGGGAGACCACCTGAGCCTTGGGTGGAGCAGGCCTTCACCCAGCTGGGCTGTCCCGCGCACACTACCTCGTCCCCCAGCACTCAACCCCAGTCATCGAAATAACCAAAGTGCCTGCAGGTGCTTCCACACACCCGAGTGGACAGATGAGTGTGCTCACTGTGGGTCTCTCTCTTCCCTGCCTCCCACTAGCCTCCTGCACCATGCCTCTGTGGGGACAGAACAATGGCCTGTCGTTCTGTGGCACCACCATCACCGCCTATAGGCTGGAGCACCTGCTGGGGGCCAAGATTCGAGGACTGGTGGCTGGGATAGGAGGTGGGGTGGGCGGTAGGCGAGACAGGGTGTGCCGCGTGTGCAGGAGCTGGGCCCGAGGAGGAGAGGACTCTGTGGGGTGAGCCTGAGGGCTGGCAGGGGAAGGGACACAGGGTGGGCGCCGGGAGGGGCCTGCTCACCCCTGCCCTCCTTCCCCTCCCCTGTTCTCCCTTCCTACCACTCTGCCGGGTCTCTGTGGAGTCATCCAAATGTGCCACCCGAGAGGGGCCACGCTGTCGGAGTCAGCCTGCTCGGCCCCCTCAGCCACCGGTTTGTGGGGACGGGCCTGAAAGGGAGACTTCCAGGGGGAGGGGAGAAAGCCTCTGTCAGCAGCGCCACCCCAATGAGTGTCACCTGCAAGCTGAACACAGTTGGCCAACCCAGCCTCTTTGTAGGTAGTGACGTGGGTGAAGCGGGGTGACTACCCCAGGGGGTGCAGATAGGGAGAGGGGATTGTGGAGGTGCCCCAAAGGTCCAGACTCCCTCTAAAGGCCCCGGGCTGACTCACCAATCTCCTCCTCCACCTCGTGATCCTTTCCTGCCATGGAGTATGGGTCATGGTGCCGTGGGCCTGGCAGGGCCTGCAGTCCACAGTGTGATGCCCTCTTCCCAGCCTGGATTAGTCAGGTGTTTTCTGTATTTCATGTTTTGACACCTTCAGAGGCTGTCTGGCTGGGAGAGACTGTCCTTTCAGGGCTAGCCAATTCTCGGAGGTAGCACAGGCCCCGCCTGCCATGTCTTTCACACGCCTCCTCTTTGTCTAACTCTCTCACACCAACCACTATTCCCCCTGCTCCAGATCACTCCAGAGCCAGGTACCAGGCAACTGGAGACCCCTCCTATGGTCCAAAGCTACGAAAGTCATTCAAACTGGCCCGTCCTAAGCCAGGGTCCTGCCCTGCCTTGCCTACCCCATGTAAGCCCCAGCGAAGCCCTGCCTGGCCTCCCAGCTCCTGCCTCTGCTTCCTGACCAGGCCATGTGCCCTGCAGGGCGTGTGTGCCGTCCTCCTGGAACCGTGAGTAATAAACTCCTCTCAGTGACACTGGCCTTTCCATGCGGTCACTCTATCGCCTCATAGTTAAGATCCTGCGGGTACCAATGAGACTATTCTTTCTCTCCCTCTTCACTCTGACATTCTAACTCCGTTCTCCTGTTCTCAGGCTCCAGGCCACGCCTCCCAGCCAGTCTTCTATTTCCACTCCCTCTTGCCCTTCAAGGAACCCTGCCGTAGTGCATCACCCACTACATAACCTTCTGTGCTATTAAACGAGGCATAATTTCACCCTTAAATTAGCCCAGAATGTCTGCAGTGCTCACATTCACACTGGGAAGAGTGCAGTGAAACTGGTGGGAAGGGGCGCAGAAATCAGTTTTATCTCTATGGAGAGTGACTTGGCAAAATATGTCAAGAACTTTAAAAACACAACCTATCATTCCTCAGTGTATGTGGCAACCATCTCCTACTTGGCACCGTGCTGCCCTCAGACCCCTCATGAAGCACAAGATCATAAAAAAGAGGACCAAGAAGTTCACTGGACACCAGTTAGTCTGCTATGTCACAATTCAGCGTAACTGGGGGAAACCTAGAGCCACTGACAATAGGATACATGGAAGATTCAAGGTCAGATCTCGATGCCCAGCGTTGGTGACGGGAGCAACATGAACACAAAGCTCATGCTGCCTAGCGGCTTTTGGAAGTTCCTGGTCTGCAACGTCAAGGAGGTTGAAGGCTGCTGGCGTGCAACAAATCTTAATGTCCTGCAATGGTCCACATCTCCGCAGAGCCGCAGAGCCACCGTGCAAAGAGCAGCCCAGCTGGCCACGGGAGTCAGCATCCCAATGCCAGACTGCACAGCAAAGGAAATGAATAGACATTTTGTGTGCACATTGTATTTGTGTTAATAAAAGCATAACATTTTGTCCCCCCCGGCGTCCCCCCCAAAAACAGAACCCATCAAAAGAAGTGATCTAAGTCCAGATGAGGGCTTACAAAGACTTTTATCACAATGCTACTTGTGATGGATGGAATTGGAAGCAGCCCAAAGAGCTTACTGACGAGGGACCAACTGGGCTACTAAAAATGGCATGTTCATTTGACAAATAAAATCATATGGATAATGTCCGCACTTCAAAAATTATTTTGAAATTTTATAAAAAATGAGAAACTATTTTCAAGTGACAAAAGTTATTAGAAATGAATAAGAGAAAGATAAAAGCTTTAATAAAAAGATGTCCAGGAAACAATACCCAAAAGAAATTTTAGTATACATAAGAAAAATCATTCAAACACATTGAAAAGTTAAGTGAGATTCCCTTACTGCCTGATCATATTCTAGTGCTTAAAAGACATTTACACAGCCCAACTGGCATGACTCAGTGGTTGAGCATTGACCTATGAGCCAGGAAGTCATGGTTCGATTCCCGGTCAGGGCACATGCCTGGATTGTGGGCTTGACCCCCAGTGTGGGGTGTGCAGGAGGCAGCCTATCAGTGATTCTCTCTCATCATTGATATTTCTATCTCTCTTACTTCCTCTCTCTAAAATCAATTAAAAATATATATATATATTTTAGAGGCCTGGTGCACAGATTTGTGCACCGGTGGGGTCCCTCGGCCTGATCTTCGGGGATTAGGCTGAAACTGGCTCTCTGACATCCTCCGAGGGGTCCTGGATTGCGAGGGGGTGCAGGCCAGGTCAAGGGACCCCACTGGTGCACAATTGGGGCTGGGGAAGGACCGAGCAGGAGGGCTCCAGGGCGTGTCTGGCCCATCTCGCCCAGTCTCAATCGGCCGGACCCCAGCAGCAAGCTAACCTACTGGTTGGAGCATCTGCCCCCTGGTGGTCAGTGTGTATCATAGTGACTGGTCGAACGGTCGGACACTTAGCATATTAGGCTTTTATTATATAGGATGACATTTACACATTAAAACAGTGTGCAAATTGTTACAACTATACTGGAGGGCGATTTGGCCAAGTTGATTCATTCACCACGCATCGAGGGGGGTTCACAGTGAGGGGTGGGGGGGACTTAGCCCCCTTGGGAGCATTTGGAAAGGTTGGGGGCATATGGGGTTTTCACACTGACTTGGTGTGTGAAAATTTAGCTCCCACCTTTTATAGGTACTGAGCATCCTGCCCTGAGTGGGACAGTCCAGTGTTTTCATCCTATTACTTGTCCACTGTTTACTCTTTCTTCGCCCCTTTGCTGTGCTTTCCCGC